GCTCTACCACTGAGCCACACCCCAGCCCCTCACTGGGGGATTCTAGGCAGGTGCTCTACCACTGAGCCACACCCCAGCCCCTCACTGGGGGATTCTAGGCAAGTGCTCTACCACTGAGCCTTGATTGCTGAGCCAAGCCCCCCTCCCAGGAGCCCTGATGGCTCCAGCCCAGCTCTCCTACCTATGGGCTGCAGATAAATGTGTTTCCGGGCCAGGCTCTGCTTCCGGAGCTGCAGGGAAGCATGAAAGGTTTCAAAATCCTCAGGGGCCTCTGGGCGACTCAGGAGCCAGTCAAAGGCTGAGTGGATGAGCAGTGTGCTGAAGAGGGTCCGGTGCGGGTTGTAGGCTTCAGACAGGAAGAGTCTCTCCGATGGGGAGAAGGCTGAGGTGTAGAGCTGCTTCAGGGCCAGATCGCAGGAGATCAGGGCATCCTTCAGGGCCCGGGGCCCAAAGCTGAACTCCTGGGGGGGTCTGCACTGCAGCATGGTGTGTGTGTGGCCCCTGGCCACTCCCTGGAGCTCCTTCTCTGGCCCATGAATCTCCCAGGGGACAGCCACGGTCTCTTCCAGAACCTTCCCTCAGGCTGATGGAGTAGCTACTCAGGGCTCCCAGGAGACGGACACTGAACCGACAGACCGTGTGGCTCAGTTCTGCCTTGTGCTGGAACTTCTCCGCTGACACCCTGCAGAGGACACAGGAGGCACCATGGTCACTGTCCTGAGCACAAATGACTCTCTCAGACAAGAGGCAGTTTTCTATGAACTGGAGTCAGAATGACGCCATCTACGCTAGGAGGTAGCATTCCCCCAGCCAGGTCAGAAGGGATGCGTGCGTGCGTGCGTGCGTGCGTGCGTCCATGCACGCAAGCCTGTGGACACCAGAGGTTGACATCAAGTCTGTCACTCTCCACCTTACTTTTGGAAAAAGAGTCTCTCACTGACTGAACCTGGAGCTTAGAACCTCAACCAAGCCGACTGGCTAACAAGTCCGCAGACACGCCACCTCAGTTTTTCGTATGGGTGTCGAGGATCCAAACTCAGATCCCCAGGCTTGTGTGACAAGTGCTCTACCCACTGAGCCATCTCCCCACCCCAGAACTGAATCCAGAGGCGCCCTATTTCCTCATAGAGGTGTATTTCCACAGGACCCCAATTCTGCTTTGAGCCCTCAGAAGCAAGGGGCATGTAAAGAAGGCGGCTACCCTTCAAGGCTAGGAGGGCGCCTTCAGAAAAGCCGGAGCCTGCTCCTCCTGCTTTTCACACTCACAAAAACTCACCCTGCTCCCTCAAGGAGGTGCCCAGACCTTCCTTCCAAACCATAGCCTTCCTTTCAAGAGCCCTTCCGTGCACCCAGGGGCTGTCCTCTGGGGGGGAAGGCAGCCCAGTGTCTCCCAGATTCTGGTTTCTAGACTGTTAGTAAGGCTCTAAGACTCACATCTAACAGTCAAGAGCCAGCCTGGGTGCGGGACACAGCGGACTGTAACTGGAGGCCAGGCGGACAGGCGGAGGGGCTGCTAGCTGCTGTGGTCACTGTCAACCAGAGTCCTGCCTGGGAGTGAGGGCTGTCCCGTGAGTGCCTTCATCGGGTCAGGCTTGGCTCCGGCAACAGGCTGCTTTGGGCTTCATTTTGCATCTCAGCGTGGTCAGCTCGGCATGATGCTGCTTGCCTTTCCTCCCAAGCATGGTCAGCTCCCAGAGGGGAGGAGGCATGCAGCCCCAGAGGCCCCGCAGGCTGCTAAGCACCTGACTCCTCACACATCTCACCAACCTATTTTTGTTTCCGGATGCCAATCACACCACCTACTTAAAACTTGCTCTGCCCCAGACCTGCTCACAAACACAGCACCCCGAGCTTAAGCCAGGAGCTGTGCCTCTGAATTGCCCCTCCAGGTTGTAGCTACTTCATCTTTCCTTCCTTCCTTCCTTCCTTCCTTCCTTCCTTCCTTCCTTCCTTCCTTTCTTTCTTTCTTTCTTTCTTTCTTTCTTTCTTTCTTTCTTTCTTT